TTTATAAAAAATCCAAAAAAATAATTTTTGCTTTTTGAGAAAGGGGGAATGGAGGTTCAACAGAGCTAGGTCTGGGTGGTTTTTGGAACCCGTTTTTAAAAAGAAATCTTTGGATTTATTTTATTTCCCAAATTTAAAGGGGAAGTATGTGCTCTTGCTTTCAAAAAGGGTCCCTTTAAATTTCAGCAGTAAAAACCCTTTTTTCCCGTAGGAAGGACTCTCGCAAAGGGCCCGTGGAGCCCATAAATTTTTTTTTCCGTTTCCCAGCATTTTTTCTTCCAAAAATACGGGGAGGGTCTGCTTCAAACCAAGGGGGCAAGCTTTCTATTTTTTAAAGGGTTTTATTTTCCCAAAAGGACTGCGTTTGGGCTTTGGCAATACGCAGAGAACTGCAACCCCCCTCAACAAAAAAACATCAACCCGTTGGGAAAGGGGAAAAAGCTTTAAATTTTTATCTGCAGCAAGCTCGTGAAAAGGCCCGAGAGAAAGTGAAGCCGATTCTTAAAAATTTATAAATTTCACCCATTGATAAAAATTTTACAAAAATTTTAACTTCTTTTGGGGGAGGGGAACTCTGTTTTAAAAATCTGGGAAAATATTAGAAAAATGGCAGAGAGGCAGGGTTGTGAGGAAAATACTGTTTTTTCTTCACATTTTATTGCCGTATTCAGCCCAAGAACCAAAGTATGGGAAAATGAGAATGCGGGGGGGGGGACTATTCAAAAATTTGAAAAAAAACCCAAAAGTGTCTAAGATAGCATTAAAGGTTTTTCTTTAAGCTATCGGCCCTTTAATTTTCAGCCCGGGGTGTTAAAAAAATCCCCTATTATGACCCTGTAGTATTTAAAAACCAAATCAGAAAGGGGGAAAATTTAAAAATCATCTAAAAATTCAGAGTAAAGGCCTGGTGGACGTACAAAGTTACAAAAAAAAGGGTTTTCTTGCCGAAATTTGGATTTAGGGAAATTAAGGGTTTTTAAAAGTTCCAAAAAAAGTTTTAGGAAAATTTAATTGTTTTTGGGGGAATCAGTAAGGGCAGACTCCCAAGATTGTTGGTATCTTCCTCCTCGCCCCGAAACTTTTGGGGATGTGAAATTTTAAAAAGCTTGAAGGAGTTTTCTCTTTTTTTTGTACATAATCCTCTTGCTGCAGCCAGGTTTTTTTGTAAAAGGCCCCCAAAAAAAATCAATGGTTATCCCCAAATCAAAAATTAAATAGTAGATTTTAGAGGAAAAAGGTTTTTTGTTAAACAAGGGGCCCATTAAAATTTTTTTAACTTTTTCCCCCAAATTTGGGGTTATTTTTTATTTTAAATTGATTTTCATGATTTAAATCCTTTTGGGGAATTTTTTGCTAATTTTTTTTAGATTTTGGTGGGGGGCAAGACACTGTCTTTGGGTGGGGGTAAAAAAAGTGGGAAAAACAAATTAAATGAGAAGTGCAGGATGGGGTTTTTAAACTACACCCCTGCCCTTTCCGGGGTTTTGCACCCCGGGTGGTCAGGGTTTTGGGGGGGACTAATAAAAGGGGGCCAGATTTTTGAAAGAGGTGCACCTCCAAAGTGGGTTTGGGTGCGTCTTTTCCGAAACAGACCCGGCTTTCCCCCAAAAAGGAAATTTCCAATTAATTTAAAAAAGCCCCGTTGTTTTCAGGGCACCCTAAAACAACCAAACGAAATTTAATGGGCGAATGCGGCAAACATGTCATCATGGTCCAAAATCAGGGAGGGGGGCCAGAAAAAAAGTGGGGTCCCCATTTTTTTTGGGAAAAAATTTCACCACCAAAAAAGCAACACTAAATTTTTGGGGCCCCCCGTCGGGTCGGGTAACCGGGTGTCATTACCAAACCCGCCGGAATTAACCCAATTTTCCCGTAAATTTAAAACCCTTTTTCTTTGCCCGTTTGTTTCAGGTAGGATTTGATTTTCGCCCGTTCTGGCCCCGGCAAACCCTTTGACTAGGGCCCCGGGTGTCTCTAAGCCACGTTTCTGACTTTGGGGGGCCCAAACCCAGAGTGGGGTTCTCAGTGGGTTTTGTCACTGAGTGGGGGAAAACCCCGGTTTTGAAAAAATGAAAGGGTTGGTTTTTGGCCCCGTGGGCAGGATTTCCCGACTACGTTTTAGTTTTTTTTCCGTTACCCAAAGCCCCCGGGTGTCAGGCAAATTTTTTGGGGGACAGAACGTGGGGGGCCTTTCAAAACAGCCCCGAAGCCCGGGGTTCTAAAACTGACACCCCCGCCCCAAAGTAAAAAATACTACACTTAAATTTAAAAATCCCCCTTATCATAAAAGGGGGCAGAGGAAAACTGCACATTTTGACACAGGGAGCAGGGGAGAGGGGAGAGGAAGAAGGCAAAAAGGGGGAAAAAGAGTCAAAGGGGGGGAGAGAGAGAAGCCAAAGCGAAAGCTAAAGGGTAGCGTAGTAGGCAGTACTTTCTTGCTATCAGAAATAAAACCCCTTGGGAAACGGGCCAGTGCTCAGTTGGGGAAAAATGAAACAAGAAGGTGCTTTTGTTTTTAAAGTTTGTCTGTTAGAGTTTAATTAGATACAGAGATATCAAGAGAAAATAACTTAATTTTTGGGTGGAGATCCTCCCGAACAGCTGCACATAGTTTTCCCCCCTCAATTTTAACCCAAACAGGTAATTTCGGGTTTTTTAAAATTGCCAATTTTAAAAAGTAACTGATACCAAATTATAGGTAAAAGTATTTTGAAGGAAATCCAGGGTTTGAAATTGTAAGGGAAAGGGGTGCAATACAGTTTGCCCGAGTGGAGTTGCCATGTAATGACATCATAAAAGTGCAGGGTCCCCGAGCAGATCTGATCACCCGAGCAGATCTGCTACCTACACCGGACTAGTCTGAGCATATCCGATGATGACGTCAGACAAGCTGTTTAACGGAGAAAATATTTTCTGAGAAAAGTCACATAAAATGATTTATATTAGCATTCTTTAGTCATTTAAGGATAGAAATCCTCATGGTTCTATTCACATCTGTTTAGCACCTATAGTCTAGAGCAGGGGTCTTCAACGTTTTCGAGGCCAAGGACCCCCAAACTGATTGCGAGATGGAGCGGGGACCCCCTAATTATATATATTGTATGAAATTGTGTTATATCAAACTGGTCCTATAGTCACTCTATTACAGATGGAGTCATGTAACGAAAGTAATTTCTCCCTGGGATTATTAAAGTATTTCTGATTCTGATTCCTGGTTGATGGGACAGGTGTTGTGAATGAAATGGTGCCCAGGTTTGAAAGAGCCCCTGTGTGTTGCTAAATGTGTGCATTGATGACTGAAGGACATCTTCTGCTTCCATTTATCTGTTTACTACAGTGTGTTGAATTCATGTTGATGTGTATTTAAAGACATTTTAATTAGTGCAAAAAATTGCAGGAGGGAATTTAAAAAAAAGTAATCAACCAAGACATTCGCGACCCCCTTGCAGTACCTCTGCGGACCCCCTAGGGGTCGCGGACCCCCTGTTGAAGACCTCTGGTCTAGAGTCTAGACTCACACCACCATCTAGCCTCTACAAAAGCCTAACTCAGTTAGCTTTCCCCCGCCCGTTCGTATTCACTCACTACAGATTCTACTTCTTGTCACTCAGGTTCAGGTTTTCATTGCTGCACTGCTGGATCTTAGCATGCTGCCCTGTGAAGTCTTTCAACTGCACATGGTGTGTTACAGCAGCTCAGCGATCCACTCTGTGTTCAACAATCCTCTCTGTGTTTCTGTGGAATCACTATGTACTCTGCTCACCAAGAACTCTCTCCCTGTTAACCTGCAGATTACTGCAGCCTCTGTCTGCTGAAGCTCACGCTGTTCACTGAGGATTACTGCACCTGAGGCTCACATCAGCTCCGGTACAGCCTCTGGTTACTTTCATCCACTATTCAGAACTTTTCAATAAACCTTCTAGACTAACTGTGTGTGTTGAACCATAGTAAATTTTTTATGGTGACCTGGATGAATATCTGCTTGCACATGTGCAAATGAGATGATGGTATGGATTGTACTTCCACTATGGATTGGGTATTGACAGTCGGCCACATAATGAGGAGTCTTCCAACCCAAAAAGGGCTTAGCTCCGAGCTATGACATAATCGGCCAACGAATCAAGCTTTCGGCTGATGCAGCCCCTGAATCTGACCTCAGCAAAAGCTTTGATTGTTTTCGTGGTTGGACCCATTTAACATGGAAGCATTTGACATCACATCCACAGAACGGTGTGTGAAACTCTGACCCAATGTGCAATAGGCTACAGGCCTTAAGATGGGTCACTCCTTCTGGGGTGTCAATGTTCCTTAGCAGACAATGTTTTGGTTGCAAAGAGTCAAATAAAAAGGCTATTTTAAAGCTATTTTTTTCAGTAAAAATAAAAAATAATGTCTCTTTAAACGTAAATCTGCCTAGCAACAAATTTGTTTTAGATTAGTCATATAGCTACAACTTTATTCTTGAGCTCTAGTGGTTGTGGAAAACAATTATATTGAGACAATAAGCTTTGGGATACTTTGATGAAGTTAATCAGTAGGGGTGTCAACAATAATCGATTCAGCGATGCATTGCTATGCGGGGCATGCATGATTCAGCATCGATGCGGCAACGTGCCATAATCGATTATGTCACTGTTTGTTTTCTGGCCTCAAATAGACAAGTTGTGAAGTTTCAATTACTTCCGGGGGCATACCAACAACAATCAAGATGGCTGAGGCGTAGGGAGATGACCGCAATAGACGGGTAGGCCTAATTAAAACGCACCAAAAGCTGGGAAAGCAGATATCTGGGCACATTTCGGATTTTACGAAGTCAATGGGATTTTGATGCATCGCAATGCATCACAATGCATCGTAGAATCGAATTTAATCGAATCGTTACCTGGTGAATCGTAATCAAATCGAATCGTGAGGGCAGTGTCAATGCACACCCCTATTAATCAGGTTTTTTTTTTAGATGTAAACAAATGCATGTTGTCTGGTATAAAAAAAAGAAACAGTGTGATTGTATAAATTTTAATTTGAAACAACTCCATAGAACCTTAAAAGTATTACATTTTCAGAGAAATTTCTTCATGCAAGCTAATATTTTGTCACACCACTTCACAATTTGTTAAAAATAACCTTTATATGATACCCAAAGACACACTTGTAATGTAATACAGACATAAAAGGGATTAAATTATAAAAACATTACCATTCAAAACCTCTTTTTATGAATATAAGTAAAATGAATGAACTAAATACCTTTAAACCAATACGCTAAAAGAAAAAATATACCTAACCAAACCTGCAAATTTAAAAATTAGTCAATATAAAACCCTCAGTTAAAATAAAATTTTTTCCTGATTTCTTTCTTAGTTTTATTTCTTCATATGAAGTAATTATCGGTTGTATTTTATTAACGCATTTTTATTTATTTTTTTTTATGTGCCAGACACACATGCGTCTGCGGCATCAATTTTTTTTTTTGTAGGAATTATTTCTAAATTTTTCAAAAGCATCTTCATCATCCTTCAGATCTTTATCCATCCTCCTGGTGTAGATTCTATAAATCGTCTCTTCAAATGTCTCTGGAAGAAGACGAGATACCTGAAAGGGAGGTAAGTAGCACTAGTTTTACCGAACCAACAAATTGAATATACTTGTGATAACTTTTTGACTCAGAACAAAACATGGTTAGTAATAGAAATGGGCAAAATACTCAAAAACGCAATTTCTTGACCTGAAATCTCACCTCAGCTCTGGTTATAGCCCTTGCTTGTTGTGGGTTTCTTTTGTTGTAGAACCTCACGTCTTCTATGGGGTCATGAGCCCTTTTCCCATAGTTAAATGTAACATCCTAAATACCAAATAAAGGTTTAAATATAAGAACTCAAAGGAAATTCTTATGTTTTCAGATGTTAACTGAATTTTCCTGTTTACAATGAAACTCACATCCACGATATATTCCTCTTGTGTACCTTGGTGGAATGTCTTCCAGTTTTCCTTAACAGAAATAGGATACAATCTGTGTAACATGTATAAACTTCCAAATGGTACTTACATATGAGATAAAAAAATATTAATTAAGTGCAGTTAAGCATACATGATGCTAGATTGGCACTCAAACAAGTATACCTTGATAACTTGCAGGGTATCTTCTGAGTGGAATTCCCCCAGACAATAGTAGTGGTCTCTCTTCACTATCCTTTCCAATATACCCCTTGCCTCTTGAAGCTCAGCAGAGGTGGAGTTCAGTATCTGATCAAATACGGTATCTACAAGTCAAAGAGAAACACAAAATGGTTTCAATGGTTTTGTGATAAATTCAGGAGTTTATTTTAAAGAGTAGTTTTTTGTCTGGGCACATGCAGTTGAAATGAGGGACACAAAATCTGCCCACCTTTCAGCCCTATGTGGTATGTAAATATACCTCCCTTGCTTTAATCAATGGCTGCCACACATCTTTTCTTGTCTAAGCCGCAAAAATATTCTTTGCTCAGCTCAGTACTTTTTTCAGAGTCAGAGAAATCTGAAAAAATACCTGGTTATATTTTGTATTTCTTTTTTTATCTGTACACATAGGCATCCTTGCTGCTCTACAATTTGATCAAATTAACAAGCCATTGATATTTAAGTTTGACTGTCACATCAGCAGAAAGTTAAATTTTTTGTCCATTTCATCTACTGTTACACTTTACATATTTAAATCAGGTCAGGCTTTGTTATCTGTTTCACTTTTACTATGCTCTCCTCTTTATTTTTTTTTTATTTTTTTTGTTGATTTTATATACTCTAATAATCCCAGAGGGAAATTACTTCTCTGCATTTAACCCATCCCCTTCGGGAGCAGTGGGCTGCCATTGTGAGGCGCCCGGGGAGCAGTGTGAGGTTAAGGGTCTTGCTCAGGGACCCAGAGTGGCAGTCTGTGGGAGTGGGGGATCGAACTCACAATCTCAGGATTCAAAGCCCAATGCCCTAACTACTTGGCTGTCACTCCCCCCTTTATTCAAATGGGAGCTACAATAATCATGCGAACAATTATCATAAATAACCCAATATCTATCAATATATTCATTCTGTTAATTAGATTTTATACAATTAAAAAACAATCTATGTTTAAGTTGGTTATAATAATAAACATTCAATCAAACTATTGTTACAGCTTGTTACAACTTACCTGTCAGCTTAGTGTAGGCCCCCATGTCTTCTATAGCTGTGGACAGGGTCCAATCTTCAAACTTGTGCTCTTTTGCTTTGATGAAAGCCTCCTTTATCCTGATGGAGCAAAACAACTTTTAATTGTGTAACAGTCTTTGGAAATGTAGGGTGATAAAGCACAAACTCCAACCCAGAAGACCAAGCAATGTCAGGGGTTTCTTACATCAACTCTATGGCATTTTTCACTTTGTGCTGGTAGGCTCTTTTGTGTAAAGAGAACCTTGTGTAGAACATGTCATACAGATTGAACACGTCCTGTTAACGATAATGACAATTTTCAGTGGCACGTATTGTAAATCTGAGTTTCAATATTGACAGGAAGGAAAAATCTCAACTAAATCACACCTTGTCTCTGTAACAGATCTGCCACTTTCCATTCACCTTACACGCCCTAGCAGATTTAATCAAACGCTCATGGTCAAAGCTGTTCTTCATACCCAGGTAATGGCAGTCTCTGTCATATGGAAAAAGGAAACAAATGTTTGGAAATATGTGTTTATATTTAAGACAAGACACATTTAGAGTGTGGAATCATATAAAAAATCCCCACCTGACAAAATAATCCCACTTATCTACATCAATCTTGTTTATCTTGTTGGACACAATGTCGTAGAGGATGTAGCGCTTTTCTGAACGATTTGCGGGTGGCCTCTACAGAAGAACAACAGAATTGTAAACAATTATTGCCAGGTGTTTCACCAAACACAATTATGGACATATACAGAAGAAGATGAATATATTCAGATTAGGGCTGCAACTAAAGATTATTTTGCAAATGAATTTATCTGACAGTTATTTTTTAGATTAATAATCGGAAAGTTAGAGGTTCCATAAAGAGGATTTTTTCCTGAATTAAACCAGGTTAAAAAAAGGGCTGTACGCAGGGCCCAAAAAATACTGAGGTCGAGAGTCAGAACTTCTAGGTTGGTTCGGCAGCTTGCTCCCCCAGAAATATTTTTAATTCCATTATTTAAATCTGGCCATCTTCAGAATCTTAAGGAGCAAAAGCATGATTGTGACTTTTGATAAGGCTTGGCTGTTCACGAATAATCTGATTAATTGTTTCAGCCCTGGTTCTAATGCTGCACCGGTTTTATACGGACCATTCCATTACTTCTAAACAAACTCCCTGTCCAATTTGCTTACATTTCCATAATATTGATTATACATTTTACTACTACTGGTTCCATAACATTCAAGGATTGTGGTGATGTTTAGTACTGTATCAATGTTGAATATATATGCTTGTAGAACAACAATAACAAAGTCATTCTAAAATGTTTATCAAAGCAAACAAGAAAGAAAAAATAAGAAAACAGGCATGTTAGTAGAAAAAACAATACAAAAACTGGTTGTATTAGGCTTAAAACTGTAAAGTTATAATGTGGATTTTTTCCCCTACACATTCTCCTTTTTACTTTATTATCTACTTGTTTATTTAAGCAAACATTCATTGACAATATTTTTGCATGTTTCCCTTTAATAGTATAGACGTAGCCGAAAGGGTTAGTGACAGGCGCATTTGTCCCAAAGAGCAAAAAATATACTACGGTGAAAAAAAAAAAAAAACTTCATTTCAACATTTCTACCTGACATGCTTTTATTCTGAAAGCGCAATGCAGCTCTATGTCACTGGCCCCGCCCCCTTCCTCACCTGCTTTGAGTGGGGCAGACACTGTAGGATGCACTATCAGCTAAATTCAACATTCAGAGACCTTCGAATGAGGTAAAACATCTAATGATAACATCTTGTTGTTAGTTTACATTTAAATTTAGAACATATAATTCAAGCTCATCTTAATCCTGGGATGGACACCTTTCCACTATTGAGCTGCTAATTTCACCTAAGTGATGTCAACCAACCAATACATTTACTTCATCATTTATTTTATAAAGGTCCCATAATGATCCTGCCACTATGGGACCTTTAAACAAAACCAGGACTCTGTCTTCTTGAAAAGAGCAATGTCAGTGTTTGTATCGTTTAAACATCATATTCAGCTATTTTAGATGGAAATTGATATTTTAAAGATGGAAAGACTGAAGAAGATGGAGGGAGGTCTGAAATGATTAGCGATAAAAATATAACTACTTGAGCTTATAAAATTGAAACCCATACCCTGTTACACTATATTATCTTAATGATGGTGCCTTATATAACATATTTCTAACATTATTTTACACTATACTTCAGGTATCATGCATTATGAATCCAACTTTTGAAACATTTCAGGTATAAGTTCTTCATTTTCTAGTACCTGCTCTCTTTTAGCTCCTGCTTCTTCTGCTGCTTGGTCAGCAGCTGGGTTCATCTCAGCCTTTATTGAAGAAAATCAACACAAAATACAGTAACATTCAAGGATTGTGGTAATGTCTAGTACTGTATCAATGTTGAATATAACATAAGCAAAACCAGCAATTTATATTGGCGCAAGGAAAAGTAAGAACCAACACTATTTTTATGAACCAGAGGAACTTTTTTTTTGAGATTTTAATCCCACTAGTGGCTCGTTTTTATGGACAGTAGGCCGACAGGAAAGCGGGTATGAGAGAGGGGGAGAGACATGTGGGAAAGGACCACAGGCCAGAATCAAACCCAGGTAACCCACATCGAGGACTAAGGCCTTCATACATGGGTCGTGTACGCTAACCACTGCGCCACCAAAGCATACCCAACCAGATTAACTTTAAATGATAGATTCCAGAAGCTGTCAGGATGGGTACCTGTGGATCTATGAGATTCTTGATGAAATCCAGATCTTCTTGTAGAATAATTCTAAGCTCTTCTCTTTCTTCAGAATCTCCTCTATCCTCGCCCGTCATTTCCCTCCGCACATAATTCATATATTTTAGTAAGCCATCATTGTTTTCCATCAGATGGTCAAACATGTCTTTAGATAGTTTCTCATGCTGCAAGACACACAGTTATTTATTGTGAGAACAGGACATCACATTTTGAAAATAACCTATAAAGTAACATATTTATCTGAATAAAACGGAAATATCCTACTTTGTATTAGACACAAAAGGACACTGTTTATTTTTAAATGTGGGCAGACATCAGGTCATTATTTACTTGGGAGCTTTGATCAGTTTTTATTCTAACCTAACCAAAAGATAAGAACATCTACTATGCAAAGAACGTCCACTTAGAACTTGAAAGATTTATTTAAAAACATTTGTAAATAACTGTTTTAGTATTTATGAAGCTATAAGCAGAATGAAAATTTATTTCAATTTGCTCACAGTGATTCTTTTTAGGGAGTCTCAAATCTGAGTTCGCTTTTAATGTAATGACAGGATGTGTACATTACATCATGTTTAATCAAATAAGCTAAATTCCACATATGTTACTCACTCTTAATTCCACAGTATATTATCCTGCAATTGTGTCTCAGAAACTCTTGAATTTTAGTAATAGGAATGTGTGGTCATCTTATATGAGTAATATGTGCTTGTAGAACAACAATAACAAAGGCATTCTAAAATGTTTATCAAAGCAAACAAGAAAAAGACAAAAAAGTTAGGACAAAAAACAAAAACAGGTTGTATTAAGCTTAAAACTGTGAAGTAATAGAGTTTATATTTCCTACACATTCTCTTTTTTATTTTACTATCTGCCTGTTTATTTAAACAAACATTTATTGACATTTTTTTTTGCATTTCTCCCTGAGACAGGCGCATTTGTCCCCAAGAGCAAGAATATAGGAGAGAAAAAACAAACAAACTTGATTTCAACATTTCTACCTGACATGCTTTTATTCTGAAAGCGCAATGCAACTCTGTGTCACTGGCCCTGCCCCCTTCCTCACCTGCTACTTTAAGTTTTTTTATCTAATATAAGTGAAAATACATTTTACTTTCTGAAATGAAAATGTAATTTTGTCACGATTTTCTGATTTGTTTTGATGTACTTTTGTACAAGCATATCTGATTTTTCTTGAACTGTTAAACTTACAGCAGGGTCTAAATTGAAAATATTATATTAATCCAATAGTTTAAAGCAGTGGAATAAGGAAACTCATATTTCAAAATTATACCTTGTCACCAAAAGAATAACTTCCATAGTAATAAACAAAGGAATTCACTGGCAACTGAATGCAGTTTAGACAAAAAAATTGTTAATTTGCCGTGCTTAAATCAGTCTGATAAAATGAAGTGAGGTTGCAGGTTAGTATAAGATATGATTATCTTTTACCGTAATACGATTGTCTGGTCTTGCTTCGGGTATAAACATACGATCAAACATGTGGGAAAACGGTCCATGTCCTGAAAAGAAAAGGAGTCAGAGTTCAGGGGTTTAAACTATGATTTAAATATCTTAAACAGTTCTTCATTTTGAAAACAAACATTCTAAATGTCTTTTTGATCCTAACAGAAATGGGTTTAAAGGTCAGGTTTAATCCTAAAAAACAAGTTGAAACACATTTCTTTTCACAGACACTGATACAATTTTGAATATGTAAAAAAGAAGTTAACACATATATATTGATATTTTTTTTAAAGCTTATAACACTTATGGTTGTTATCACAAGTGTTTATGTTCTTTTTATGTTAGTAGATGTTCGGTCTAAAACAGAAATTGAACAGGTGATAGACTGCATGCGTCAAATCCTATGTTACAATGTTACAATAATAACATATCAATGAAATATATAATTTTCCCACAATGAAAAAATTTACCTTCTACATTAAACTGTTACTTTGTTCAGTTACCATTCTGGGATATTAGGTTTCCTCAGGAAACAAAAATGCTTCATTTACTTATTTGAGATGATTGACTAATGCTTAGCTAAGGCAGTAAATACAATAGTTTTTTTCAAAATTCAAACTTCTGCTGGTTTTTTTGAATATTAAAGGAATAGTACACCCAAAACATGATTAGCCTTCATTTTCTACTCACCCCCATGCTGAACAACACCCTGGAGTACTTTTTTGATATCTCAAATGCATCTGGAGATCTGGGAGGCTTCTTGCTGTCTGCTGACATTCAAATAATGGAGGTCCATGGCGCCCGAGGCAGAAAGGTCCATAAAAGTCCACAAAAAACTTTTCAATATTCCTCCATACTGCTCGTCCAATGTATTCCAAGTGTCCTGAGTGGGTAGCATCCAGAATTTACTCGAAACGAAGTCATTTAGAATGTTTTTAGAGCATAAACAGTAGTGTATAGGATTTCCTGAAAGCGCGTTCACGGCGCTACGGAAACCGCGGCAGACCAAACCAGACGAAAGTGTGCATTCAGCTCAGCAAAGAACTCATGCTCTTCCTCAACACTGAAGTCCTCAGACATTTTTCTTTCGTTGTTTCTTTCTTTGCACAGGTAAACAGCACATTTCTTCTTCTACGCTTGCATTATTGGCAGAGCAGACGCTGAATGCGCACTTTCATCTGGTTTGGTCTGCCGGCTTCCGTAGCGTCATGAACGCGCATGTGCGCGCTTTCAGGAAATCC